TCAAATATCGATGTTTGTTTGGAAAACCACAAACATCGCTGTTCATCATCAGTATTGCCAGAAAATTCGGGCCGATCGGCTAAATGGGCAAATAAACGGCTAAAAACGCCTATAATTTTTCAGTTATTCATGTTTTATTTGAATAAAGTTGAAAGACTAATAAACTCATTAAATTACTTTTAGTTAACAAAGGAAACTGTCGTTATACCTGATTATTTAAAGCTCTACATCAGAATTTATGTTTATATTACTTACATAAATATAAACACACGACAGTCGGATCTATGTAACCGGAACGACCCAGATTTATATTTGGCCAAGGACTGTCCATGAACCAACTAAGAAGATCACGCAATCGGAAAAGAATGAGTGCGATTATATTGGTATTTATTATAAAATATTAAGGGCCGGTTAATCAATGTCCGTTTAGCTCTAATCTGCGGTTAAACATCGTTATCGACGTCTTCGACTCCATGCATACAACAGGGAGTCGATAACTATGTTTAACCGGAGATTAGTGTTAACCAGACATTGAGTAACCGGCCCTTAAAGTGAAACTTGATGACAATAAGCAAAAAAAGTTTCTGAAATATGGTTTTAATCATGATAAAAACATAGCAAGGTAGAACCGTTCTCTCAATTTGTCGGCCATGATTTTTTTTTGAAGTTTGCCAACATTTTAAAATCATATAAAAGTGAAAATAAAAAATTTTTAAATTGTTCGAAATTGTTGTTGCTTGAGATTGAAAATGAAAATGTGTGTGTGAGTTTGTGAGTAAATTTAAAAATTAAATTGTTTGGAAACGTCAAACCCAGGTTTGCAACAGGAATATATGCCCGTTCCATTATTTCTTAAGGAAAGAGTGAGGCAACAGGCTGTGAAGTATCAAAAATGTCAAAATTCTTTATACACACACACGAAATAATTGCAATTTTTCTTGACCGTTTTCTTGAGAGCTGCATACAGGGCTTTAACAACAATTTTCTGGTAAACTATAAGTTTCCTCGCCGTCTGGTTTTCAGTTTTGTTATAAGTACGACCCCTCCACCCCCCTAAACAGTAATTTTGTTCAAAGCGTGGTGCACTCTCGCAAAGTTTCCCACAGGGAGATTACAACTTAGGGCCGGTTACTCAATGTCTGGTTAACACTAATCTGCGGTTAAACATCGTTATCGACGTCTTCGACTCCATGCATACAATGGGGAGTCGGTAACGTCGATAACTATGTTCAATCGGAGATAAGTTTTAACCAGACATTGAGTATCCGGCCCTTAAAGTGGCCAATTGTTCATGTTAAGGGCCGGTTACTCAATGTCTGGTTAACACTAATCTCCGTTTAAACATCATTATCGACGTGTTCGGCTCCATGCATATAACATGGAGTGGGTAACGTCGACAACGATGTTTTACCGGAGATTGGTGTTAACCAGACATTGAGTAACCGGCCCTAAGTATAAGAAAACAAAATTAAAAAGGCAAAAAGTAAAAAACAAACCCCGCCAATCACCTCACGTGAAAATGCTTGCAACTCACCAAACCTCTCAAGCTTTTGTTAAAATAGGGTATAAGTAGGGGCTATCACAGAAGCCATGGTAGTCCGTTTTTTTTTGTGAAATCTACAAAAATGCGATCACTGAATCCGAATTGCTACGACCGTCTGTATTCAAAGTATACGCTACGTTCGAAACTATTCGGATTCAGTGATACCATTTTCGTAGATTACACAAAAAATCTGACTACGATGGATTCTGTGATAGCCCTGGCAAGTATTCGAAATTTTAAAATAAAACAAAGTTTAATTTAGAAAGTTCAAACCAAAACAGTGTTAATTTATTTTTCTTACGGCACTGTCACACGGTCAGTATTTATTGACGTGATCCAAGTATCGCGATATTTATTGACGGTGTAGCATGCAGTATTGATGGATCGTGATCCATATCGCAAAATTTCTAAAAATTAATCTGGATCGCGGATCGCAATACCGTCAATAAATATTGAACGTGTAGCACTTTCANTACATTTCGTCAGTACATCTTGTACTCTCATAATGCNGAACATCGGCTCTGCCTTCGCTCTCGGGGCTTAAATTCTTTCAAAACAATTTTAATTAACATTGGAAATTTTAAAATAATTGTTGAAAGCATAATCTGTAAATTATACGTACAAAATAAAAATATTTTCTTGCGCGATCCATCAATCGTGATAATTACTGACCGTGTGACAGAGCCCTAAAAATTTTGAAATCTGGATCGCGGATCGCAATAATCTCTGATCTGCAAATTATTCATACAAAATAAAAAATATTTTCTTGCATCATAATAAGCGTTCAGTACAGAAACTATGCAAATACTGACGCGATAATTATTGAGCATGTAGCATTCGTGCACGATCCATCAATCCATCGATATGGATCGCGATCCAAATATGTATAGTGATAATTACTGACCGTGTGACGTGTGTGTTTACATGTTGCCTGCATTTACTTGGTGCTTGTAAGGAATAGTGAATGTATTTTCAATCTTTATATCCTTAAAGTCAAATTTGTGAAACAAAAATTCAATTTCCAAGAGTTTGCATTTAAGTGACAAAAACAAAAACAAACGCGAATCAACTGTTTCTTAAATTCTAGGCACGAAATGTGGTTTTTTGCGTTCCCGTACTTCTGGATATTATGTTCCATTTTTGAGAGAAAACTTTTCGCTTATTCTCTAATTACCGGATCCGGACCGGATTGTTAAGGAAAGAACCTATTAGGCCTTCTTCTTCCTGTCCGAAACAACCGGAACTTTTTCTCCGGGTAAAAATGGATAAAGCGCCAAAGTGCATATCAGCTGTTTTGTGTTTACATGTTGCCTGCATTTACTTGGTGCTTTTAAGGAATAGTGAATGTATTTTAAATCTTTATATTCTTAAAATAAAATTTGTGAAACAAAAATTCAATTTCCAAGTGTGACAAAAACAATAACAACGCGAATCAACTGTTTCTCAAATTCTGGGCACGAAATGTGGTTTTTTGCGTACCCGTACCTCTGGATTATGTTCCATTTTTGAGAGAAAACTTTTCGCTTATTCTCTAATTACCGGATCCGGTCCGGATTGTTATGGAAAGAACTTTTTATGAACGATGTATCGATTTTTCAAATCCATTGATGTATCGTGTGCAACCCTAAATACAATTCCGGAAATTGCTTATTGTGAATCATTAATGAGCAAAAAGAAGAAAAACAAACGTCAATAGCTTTGTTTCTTAACAGATAATAGCTGCATTTTTTTGTAAGCGAGCGACAAAAAAAAAAATTATCACAAATTTCTGCTAGAAAACGTTCCTTACGCGCTTATTTTTTTGACTCTCTTGCTAATTTCTGCTAGTAAAATTTTTAAATAATTTTTTTAACTGGGAATTGTCGATTCGTGTTATTTTTGCACGTTTAGCTTAACATATGTACAGATTAGGCTGCAATTTAGTTTGGCATCCCCGGAGTTCCGCATTAAGGTAGCTATGGAACGATAGAGGGAGTTCTCCTCATTGCAAATATATACACTTTTAGCCGCAGCAGGCTTCTAGTTTTTAAGTTATTTGTTGTTAAAGTTTGTAAATTGAACTAACCTCTCGGCGCCATTTCACACAATAAACACTTTATTTATGTGCACACTTTAGCAAAATAGTTGCATTAAAACCCCGGCCTGAGATTTCCACTTTAATATACATTCTTAATTAATTAATTAAGTAAAACGCGTTTATAAATGTCTTCACAAACGTTTGCACATTTCACATACAAGCAGAAATAACAATGGCTGACAGTAACACAAAATGTATGCTACCATACGTTAAAAAAATACACAAATAAGAATAAGTGTACAATACGTACATATATTGCTCTTATTAAAAATAATAATATTAGGATCGATAGGGGTCTTACTCCTGATCATAACGGTATTATTTTTTTTGGGTGGAAATAATATTTACTGGTGTTATTGTAGTTCAAATCACACAAATGTAGAAAACGTACATCGTTAATTTGATAAATAATGAAAATTTTTAATAAAAAATCGCGCGATTTTTTATTAAAAATTTTCGCCTGCGGCGCTTGTCCGTTTTTTTTATTGGGGGTATTTAACCCCATACCCTCCTTTACTACTAATTCAACGCTGAGCAGGAAAATGGGTACGATATAAACTATTCTCTTTTATTGTTATTTTCTTAGATGTGGCCTAATGTCAGTGTGAAACCATGGTTGAATCAACGGTTCTGTATTCACAANTATTTTTTTGACTCTCTTGCTAATTTCTGCTAGTAAAATTTTTAAATAATTTTTTTAACTGGGAATTGTCGATTCGTGTTATTTTTGCACGTTTAGCATAACATATGTACAGATTAGGCTGCAATTTAGTTTGGCATCCCCGGAGTTCCGCATTAAGGTAGCTATGGAACGATAGAGGGAGTTCTCCTCATTGCAAATATATACACTTTTAGCCGCAGCAGGCTTCTAGTTTTTAAGTTATTTGTTGTTAAAGTTTGTAAATTGAACTAACCTCTCGGCGCCATTTCACACAATAAACACTTTATTTATGTGCNGGACACTATGTCGTACAGGAACAGTTTCCTGTAAAATCCTGAAGTACCTGGAACAAGTGGAACAAGTTTTACAGGATATTCGTTCTTGGTAAGAAGAAGTAAGTCTGCACGATGTACAACATCGCGTTTAACCCGGTCAGATCTGTTCCGATTGGTACATCTTTATATTAAAGCAATACAACAACCCAGCCGAAATTCAGCTTCACAAAACCCTAATTTTGCCATTCTCTTATCGTTCGTTCGTCGGCTGTCGTAGTTTTCTTGGTCTCCCTATTCACAAACTTGCTGTCAAAACTGNTTATCGTTATCTGTCGTAGTTTTCTTGGTCTCCCTATTCACAAACTTGCTGTCAAAACTGTAGTCAACAAGTTTGACAGGATATTCGTTCTTGGTAAGAAGAAGTAAGTCTGCACGATGTACAACATCGCGTTTTTGCGTGATCTTGTATTTTTGGTTCATGACGGAAACCCGATATGCTGCAACCTCCGAAAAATAAAGCAGATTGCGTCTGTGTGACATACCCACCTAAATTGTGAATGGCTAGTTTATCCAATACACATACCATTAAATATGGCGTAAAATGGCGTTTCGTTCAATCTCCGTCAAGTAGCCATATTGGTTCTTGTTTTCGGAAAATACCAAACGACGAGTAATTTTTTCGTTTTCTCTGCATTTTCGTAGGATTCATTTTCAGCGGTTGCAGTAAGTGGCAAAAGCAGATTAAAATAAATTTGCCACAAAAATAAATGTTGTAAACATTTTTCATTCGAATTTTGACGTTTTGTAACGCGAGGCCGTTAAGATTTATCAACTATCATAAACCAACAGAGCACACGAGAAATAAGTGAAAAAAAGTAAATGAAAAAATGTTAAATATGTATATAATTGGTTAAGTTGGTTTTATTAATAGCATTATTGTACATGGTTGGAAGTGTAGATACTTTGTGAGACTAGTTTTCCGGACACATTAATACAAGGACTACTACTATGGCCATCGAAATATCTAAAAGGTGCCTGCATTGCAGTACAGTTTCTCATACTTGTTAAATACGCCGATTTAGTTGAGTACTGTGATGGCAATGTTGGAATGTTCGTGACACGCTCTTGGGGTGCGGAGCATCTTAACGAATTTTTGTTGTGCTTTTGGTTGAACTTTACTTGCGCCTATCAGTTTAAAAGCTAACTCAGTTCTTTGACTCGATTTTGTGAAACAATCTTAGGGACTAAAATCTGTTTTATAAGAATGTTTAATATTAGTGTACAACGATAATGTTTTTTTCTGCATTTGCAGTTGTAAATAACTTGGTTCCTCTATCGAAATTGCCAACAGAATGGGGGAAATCAAATCCGTAAAAGTAGACAACTGGGGAGTCTTCTTCCTCCAGAAACTGCAAAACTTCTTTAATAAGACCGACTATTGTGACCTCACACTACAGTTTCGGGATAACTCGCAGTTGAAGGTACATCGTCTAGTATTGAGCGCTTGTACTGATTTCTTCAACGTGTTGGAGCAAACTTGCGAAATGGTGGACGATGCTCTCATCATGCCTAATGAGCTGCAAGCCGATGTTGTAGTACCCATCGTAAACTTCATGTACACTGGGACATTGGAATTCGAATTAAAAATGTATGGCAAGCTGCTACGCACGGCTAAGGATATGAACATGACTGTTCTGTTAAAATTGCTCGAAGCACATCGCCGTACAATGGAGGGTGTAAATCGCTTACAGCGGGTGAGTAAAAAGTATTGTTTTGCTTTTATTTCAAAACCATAAAAAATTCTCTATCCATAGCCACCTAGCCCAAAACCATTACGTCGGCGTGTTCCTGCTGCAACAAGCTTGCCTCAACAGCAACCAAACGTTCAACAACATCGCGTACTAACATCACCAAACAGTGTTTCTGGATTGCAGCGTCCCATCGTTCAAACAAAAACTATAAGTACTAGTTCATCTACTACTATGAATTTGCCACAACAAACTCAATACAGGCAACAGATAGGATCAACATCTCTAATAAGAACAATGCGTGCCAGTAATACCAATAATATGCAAGGTCGTACACAATACGTCAATCAGCCTGCACATGAAAGTCATGAAACTATTATAAAACAAGAGCCAGAAGAAATAACCCCCCCATCACCTTTTGAACAGCTTCGCAAAGGTTACAATAACAACAAGCGTCCAGCCAATAATGCTTTGGTATCACCGCCAGCTAAGAAGCTTAATATTGAAGACGTTAAAGAGTTTGCTGAGCAGCAACGTATGAGAAAACAAATTGCCGCAGAATATGGCGACGATCAGGGCGAATACGAGAACAGCATGATGGAGGATGACATACACAATGATGATGATGATGACGATTTGGCCACCACATCGGCCACTGCAAGTACCATAGCAGGTATGCAAGCATCCACATCGCGACAAACACAGCTGCAACATGGTGCTACTACAATCACCATTAATCAAAATGAAAAGCCGCCCACTATCGTCGTAAAAGACAGTTCCAATTCCAAAATGAACCATGCGAAAATAATTAAAGAAGTACTTCGGCAGTATCCGCATTTGGTGAAGAGTAATAAAAATATAAAATTGAAGATAATGCCTAGCTCTGGAGATCAACCGCAGAAGATTATTGTAAAGAAAGAACAACTGGAGCATATTTCAAGTGATCCACAATGTCCATCTTCATCGTCCCAATCCCAGTCAGTTTTACGCGTACAGAGCTCATCTCAGACATTGTTAAAACCCTTAGAAAAACTTCAAGCAACTGTACATCAATCTACACCTCCACCTCTACCTGTGGCACAAAAAATGTCCCCAATTCAACCAAAACTACAAACAACATCACCAACTTCTGCCACATCTGGGACTGGCACAGCAACATCATCAGCACTTCCAGCACAAAAGCGTCGTATCGATAGTAAAACAATGCATGCTTTAATTGCATTAGGAGCAGAAAACACCACTGGCCCTTGGTTGTGTCTCCGCTGTGGAGTCAACGGACGGCCTATAAGTATTCCATCGTATCGAGGTTTTCGCCGTCACTTGATAAACACACACAAAGAATACATTGATCCGGCACTCTGTGAACATTGTGGCTGGCGTTCAAGTACTAAACGTGAGCTGNAGTCAACGGACGGCCTATAAGTATTCCATCGTATCGAGGTTTTCGCCGTCACTTGATAAACACCCACAAAGAATACATTGATCCGGCACTCTGTGAACATTGTGGCTGGCGTTCAAGTACTAAACGTGAGCTGCACTTCCACATGGAGATAGAACACAAGATTAAGACCACTTCTTACACTTTCCCAAAGTGTTTGTTATGCTCTAATCAGTTTTTGGATACAAATGCGCTAAATCAACATATGGTTGACGCCCACCCGGATGAGAACAAGCAGCAATGTATTTACTGTAACAAAATTTTTGCACGTGAACTACAACTATATAACCATATGAAGACCTACCACAAGAAACAGGCCCTCGAAGATGGTATTATCGATTATTCAGACGATGAGTTATTTGAACCGCCGACAACCACGGAAATTACAGCATCAGAGGTGCAAGAAAATATATCAAAGGAGAAAAAGGAGTCAAAGATAAAAATAATATCTGACATTAGTCTACCCAGCGCCGGATCGATATTGAAACTTGAGGGCGGCAATGTAGCTACAGACTCACGTCCACAAATAGGTATATCTGGCGATCAGCAAGAATTTATGGAAACGAACGAAAGCAACATTATAACTAGCGAACCCAAATTTGTTACTGTCGATGGCAACGAGATGGTTTTAACTGATGAACAACGCCAAGAGATCATGGCTCAATTGAATCAGGAACATGGAACTGGTGGGGTTGTGATGGTATTAAACGAGCCTGCTGAGTACACGGCGGAAGCAACACCATTGACTTCAAGTCATGATGCATTGGAATGCTGCAATGAAAAACAACCAGCTGAACACGAAGCTGATCACAGCGCTGAACGCCAGCCTGAAGATCAAATAATGGACGAAGAAACTCGAAATCCCCCTGCCGAGAGCTCAACAGCGGATGAAGATTTTGATGATAATCAGATATATAATGAACTGCATACCGCTCAAGGTGGACAAGGCGATTCAGATATAACAGCAGAGATGGGTACAACGGAAGTTACTGATGATAAAAAAAACACTTCGGCAGGAAGTGCAATGGATGAAAGCAAGGAATCGATTGAAAATTTGGAGTGGGCCGAAAATTTGATCAGCGCCCATGAGTTGGCCGATCAAGAGGAAATGGAAGCGGATAAGAAAGACAGAGTATGTGGTGCATACATACATATGTACATAAAATGCCAACATATTGTATAAGGATATTTAAAATCGAAATTTAAAATTCGTTTCATTTATTTTTACAGGATAATAAAGGCGACGATGCAATAAACCAAAAGTTAAAAGAATTGACTGGTGACTGGTCGGAAGACGATAATGATGAGGATCAACAGGAAGCAGCAATTTCGCCAATCGCCGAGGTCGATGCACCGGAAGACTCCACTAATACTGTTCAGAATATAGTAGAAGGGAATGAAGAAAATATTTTGGATAACCAGAAGAAAACTGTTGAAGAACATGTGGAGAAACCTAAAGAGCTGCCTGAAAAATCCAATGAACCAGAAGACGCAGTAGCCGGAAGTGACATTCTAGACCCAGCTGAAGATAATATTATTACCCAAGATGTTGATCCCGGCTACACAAATACAAACGCAGATGATTCGAAGGGTGAAGAAGATGATTTAGACGCACTTATGAAAAATTTGCATAAGGATGATGCTGATTTAACCGATATTAAAGGCCATGAAGCAGAGAACCAGGCGCAAACAATGGATGATA